GACCCTGATCCTTTTACAACTGATCAGATTATCACATCAGATCACATCATGGAGAATCATTCCATAACTGCCAAATCACTGAGAAACATGGCCCAGTCAAGTTGATACATATTTTGGGAGACCCAATTCAATCCATGACATTTGTCTTACATGCTCTGGACATGTTATCAAGATGGACCAGTCCTTGGAGAAGGACATCATGCCTGGTAAAGCAGAGTGTCAGGGAAAAAGTGAAAACCCAGCAAGATGGATTGACACAGTGGCTGTGACAGTGGGCTCAAGTATAGCAGTGGTTGTGAGGACGGTGCAGGACCAGGCAGTGTTTCGTTCTGTTGTGCCTCGGACAGCTATGAGTCGGAACTGACTCAATAGCACCTAACAGCAGTGTCAACAATGTTTTCAAGGTTCATCCATGTTGCAGCATATGTCAAAATTTCAGTCCTTTTATGGCTGAATAATATTCCACTGTATATATACACCACATTTTCTTTATCCGTTACTGAGACGATGAATACTTGGGTTGTTTTCACCTTTTGCCTATTACGAATAATGCTGCAGTGAACACCTAACAACAACAACCACAGCAGTGGACATTATTGTTGTCAGGTGCCATCAAATTGGCTGCACTCATGGTGACCCTGTGTACACAGAATAAAATGCTGCCTGGTCGTGCACCAGCCTCACAATTCCTACTATACTTGAGCCCGTTGCTGCTGCTACTGTGTCAGTCAGTCTCATTGAGGGCCTTCCCCTTTTTCACTGACCTACACTTTGTTGTTGTTGTTGTTGTTATGTGCCTTTGAGTCGGACCCAACTCATAGCGACCCCTCCTTGGATTTCCGAGGCAGCGTCGCTATGGAGGTAGATTGCCCAACCTTTCTTCACTTTACCAAGTGTGATTTCCTTCTCCAGGGAATGGTCCCTTCTGACAACATGACCAAAGTAGGTGAGACGAAGTGTGGCCATTCTCGCTTCCAAGGAGCATTCTAGCTACACATCTTCCAGGACAGATCTGTTCGTTCTTCTGGTGGTCCATGGCATATTCAGTATTCTCTGCCAACACCACAACTCAGAAGTGTCAGCTCTGCTTCCATCTCTCTTAGTCATTGTGCAGCTTTCACATGAATATGAGGTGACTGAAAACACCATGGCTTGGGGGAGGCGCACCTTAGTCCCCAAAGTGACATCTTTGCTCTTCAACATTTAAAGAGGTCTTTTGTAGCAGATTTGCACAGTGTAATACAACATTTGATTTCTTGACTGCTGATTTCATGGGTGTTGATTGCGTGTTCAAGTAAAATGAAATCTTTGACAACTTTAATCTTTTCTCCATTTATCGTGATGCCACTTGTTGGTCCAGTTGTGAGGGCTTTCGTTTTCTTCATGTTGAGGTGTAATGCATACTGCTGACTGTAATCTTTAATCTTCATCAGTAAGTGCTTCAGGTCATCTTCACTTTCAGCAAGCAAGGTTGTGTCATCTGCCTATCGCAGATGTGAATGAGTCTTCCTCCAACCCTGATGCCACGCTTTTCTTCATATAGTCCAGCTTCTTGGATTATTTGCTCAGCATACAGATTGAATAAGTATGGTGAAAGGATACAGCCCTGACGCACACCCTTCCTGATTTTAAACCATGCAGTATCCTCTTGTTCTGTTTGAACAGCAGCCTCCTGGTCTGTGTACAAGTTCCTCATGAGCACCATTAAGTGTTCTGAAATTTCCATTCTTCTGAATGTTAGCCATAGTTTGTTATAATCCACATAGTTGAGTGCTTTTGCAGAGTCAATAAAACACAAGTAAACATCTTTCTGGTGAACATTAGTATATAAGTATTTGTTTGAGACTCTACTTTCGATTCTTTTTGGATATACACTCAGAAGTGGAATTGTTGGGTGATATGTTAATTCTATGTTTAATATTTTGAGGAATGGCCAAATTATTTTCTAAGGTGAGTGTACCTGTTATTTCACATTTCCAACAGCACTGGATGAGGGTTCTCCACGTCCTTGCCAACTCTTACTATTTTCTGAAAATAGCCATCTTGTTGTGTGTCATCAAGGCAATCCCAACTCATAGCAACCCTATAGGACAGAGTAGAACTGCCTCACAGGGTTTCCAAGGCTGTAATCATTATGGAAGCAGACTGCCACATCTTTCTCTCATAGAGCAGCTGGTGGGTTCAAACCTCTCACCCTTCAATTAGCAGCTGTGTCACCAGCTTAGCCACTGTGTCACCAACTATCTTTGAGGCCACAAAGAAGTATCTTATTGTGGTTTTTATTTGTATTTAATTAATAGCTAATAATATTGAGCATCTTTTCATCTGGTTATTGGCTATTTGTATATCTTCTTTGAAGAAATATCTATTCAAGTCCTTTAACAACTTTTTAATTTTTTTTTTTTTTCCTTTTTATTGTAGTAGTCAAGCATTTTAATGCTTTGCTTTTGTTTATTTCATTTGGAGATGAAAATTATACTGTCTTTCCTACCTTTATGCAGGAATGTTTTCAGGATAAATAAGGTGACACTAAGATAACACACAGTGAAGCTCATGATTGTTAAATTAGATCAAGAAACACGTAGGGATTAACATGAGCTCATTTCATGTGTATTATGATAATGAATGTACTCCCCTTTGGTTTATAATAGATCCATATGTTTTATTGTGGTATATATGTAACAAAACTGGTCATTTCAACATTCTTCACATGTATAGTTCAGTGATGTTAAATATGTTTAGCATGTTGTTCAACTGCCACCATTCCCCATTTCCAGGTTTTTCCATTATCCTTATCAGAAGCAGTGATATGTATTTTATTTGCAGATTCAACCAGTCATTTTCAGTACTAACTATAGATTTATCCTATATAAATGAATAGTATTAAAATCATCAGTGGTAAGTGAACACATGGGGAAAATAGTCATCCTCTCTAGTAATCAGAGAAGTGGAATTTGAAGTATGCTTGAAATATCATTTTATCCTTTCTGATAGCAAGAAAACAAGCCAACAAACTAAAACGTCATCAGTGAGAACACAGGATGTTCTTGAAAGTTATGATCATGGAATCCTGAGTGGGTTGTGTCTGAGGCTTTGAGTTTCTACAGCAAACATTGAGCAAATAGTCAAGAACCAAAATCCTGCCAAGAACCATTCTAGATGACTAAAGAACAACTGAGCTGTTCATTTTGCCAAGTTAATGCCAAGAGAAAGAGACTGTTTTAGATTTTTTGAAAATTAAGGGCTGTATCACCAGATGCAGGAGCCCAGTGGAGCAGTGGTAAGCTAGCTGGGCTGCCAACTGAAAGGCTGTCAGTTTGAATCCATCCAGTGGCTCCACAGGAGAAAGATCTCGTAAGGTGGAGTATCCACAACAAACAGGAAGACCCACAATGAGATGGATTAACACAGTGGCTGCAGCAGTGTGCTCAAGCATAGCAGCAATTGTGAGGCTGACACAGGATCAGGCAGTGTTTTGTTCTATTGTACATAGGGTCGCTATGAGTCAGAACTGACTTGATAACACCCAACAACAACAACCATCAGCAGATGCAATGTGTGGTTCTAGAACGGAACTCACTATGGACCAACATTTCTGTGAGGAACATTGGGAGAACAATCGGAGACATTTGAATGTGGACTGAGTATTAGATGATATTAAGAGATTTTAATTAATTCTGTTGGCTGTGATAATGTTATTTGGAAAATGTTCTGGTTACCAGTACCACTCTGGCAAGAATATACCACAAATGGGATGGCTTTAACAAACAGGAGTTTATTCTCTTACAGTTTGGAGGCTTTAAGTCCCAGTTCAAAGTGCCAGGCTCTAGGGGCTGGGTGAAAGCCCCTCAACCTTGGGGTCCAGCTCTGTCTCCTGCTCCCGGCCCACTGGAGCTAAAGGCTTTTCTTCACTCAGACAGTCGCTGGGTGCTGAGGCTGACAAGCCTAAGGTTGACAAGTAAAAAGGCATAGTCCCAATGTTACCAAACCACACGGCAGGCCATGAATTCAAGTCCATTGAAAGTCTGAAGGTCGGCAGAGTGTGGCAGGCTGGCTGAATAATGACATGGCTACATGTAGGGTTCAAGCATGCCATAAACTATAGACCATTTCCCAAAGCTTCTGCTTATATACAGGAAGCGGACCACATCCCTAAGGCAGCTACTCAGCTGCTCCCAGTAGATTCCACCATGGAGTTGATTACCAGTCTCATCATGGGGAATACTACATCCAGCTGCCCAGCCGCTCAACCAGGCCCAGCCAAGTTGGCACACCAACTTAACTACCACAGCAATGTAGGAAAATATTCTTATTTTTCAGACATACCTCCTAAAATATTTATGGATAGAATTCTATGATGTCTGAGATTTACTTCAGCATTTTAAAATGTATAAAAAAAGAACCAAAATATCATACTCTTTTACCTAGAAATTCTACTCCTAGGAATTTTTCCTCAGGAAATAATTTATTAGGAGAAAAAAATTAAAGGTGTATAAAGATTATTATGAATAATAGTAAAGAGTTAGAAATAAATGGCTAATAATTGGAGAAAATTACTTTAATTAAGGTTAACTCAATAAGCTGTCAGTCATTTAAAAATGATAATTAGGAAAACTCTGGCACACTTGGAAAATTACTCATGACACTATGCTAATTATAAAATCAGAATATAAAACTGGATACTGTTTGCATATGTGTGTATGGACCAGAAGAAAGGCCTGGGCATTCAAAGACCTGCAGACCATGGTTCTCTGACACACATGGTGTCTTCATGAGTTGGAATCAACTCCATGGTAATGGTACTGTATGATATGTATGGAAAATTCTGTTAAGATAGTGGGATTGTAGGTGTTCTCTTTCCCATTGTTCCTTACTGTTATTTAAAAACTAAAATACAAAAAAGTAAGGAAAAAAAAAAAGAACAGTGTGGGCTGAAGTTAACAGTTTCATTGGTTCACCAACTCAAACACGACTCAGACAATTGATCCTTCTTTCTTTAGGGCATTTCGGAGTCCCTGGTGAGCAGGGCTTGCCTGGTGTTCACGGGCCCCATGGACCACCTGGAAGGCCAGGACTGCCAGGCTCCTCTGGACCACCAGGGTTTCCAGGTACTTTGAAATATAGTGTGGAAATTGCCTGGGTACATGTGGATCTCTTCGTGTTCTGGAAAGAGGCAGCATTTCTTTAGACGGCCTTGGATTCCCTCATTTCTTAGACTGTGATTTTGGACAGGTCATGTAAACTTACCTTCTCCTCACACGTGAAATGAAGATAGTCCCATCTCACTAAGATTGGCCTAGGTGTGAACCAAGAAAACACCTGTGAAACATCTAACATGGCATTCTAGCCCTCTCCCTTTCACTTGCCATCCTGTGTGTTGGGTTTTCTTTTCTCTTTTAGACATGAGGCATATACCGTATGCATGGCATAGTAGTGTAATGAATCTTCTTACTGCCCATTCAGAATAAAGGGAACGTTTAAGGCCAGAATTGGCAACTTGAGTCATTAAGAAGTACGTTTTCTCCTCCTAAAGTTAAGTGCCTTTTTCTCTCCAAGGTCACAGATCTAGGAAGAAAAGATAGTAAAACAATGTTCCCAGTTACCCTCATATTAAGAGCACAACTGTTTTCTCAGTTAATGTAACTCATATCAACTGGGGGTCTGAAAAACACCCTGTCATCTTCAGGTGATCAAGGGGTGCCTGGGATGAGGGGACATCCAGGAGAAACAGGGGACCGTGGACCAAGCGGCCTCATGGGGCATCCAGGGATACCAGGTCCTCCAGGAATAAAAGGTAAGTCAAAGGGCATCCGAAGCCATCTGAAAGATCCAGCCCAATGAGGGCAGATCTGTTGTGCCTTTGCTGTAGCCACAGGTGACATTACTTTTGGCCATGACACTCTTTCCCATGGATGCCATAGGCATGCTCTGCTTCTTACCTAGGACTTCAGACAGTGTTGGCCTGCCTTCTACCATGGAGTATCCACAATGATGATGTTGCTGTCTCATCTCTGAGGATACTGTTTCCAAGTGTTCCATGATGCTCGGGGTTATTTACTTATCCTTCCCACAGATAGTTGAGCTTCTATTATGGCCTAGCTTCTGTGTTAGATGCTGAGTACACTGTTTTGAAGAGCATAGGCATGGCTCCTGCCTTCATGAAGCTCACAGTTTAGTAAGAGAGAGAAATTAAAAATGTATCTATAAATAAAAATATTTACTAATTGTGGTGAGAGGAAGAGAAAAGAAGGTGCTATGAGAATAAAATAACTGGTATTTATTTTCTTTGTTAGATAAAGAAATTTTTTTTTTCCTGGCTGACTTTTTTGATCTTTAAGATAGTAATGTTGTTGTTGTTGTTGTTGTTGTTATGTGCCGTCGAGAATAGATGGGATATAATATACCTAAAGCTCTGGTGGTGTAGTGGGTAAGGCATTTGGCTCCTAATCAGAAGGTCAGTGGTTCAAACCCTCCAGCTGCTCTGCTGGTAGAAGATGAGGAAGATGAGGTGATCTACTCCCTTAAAGATTTACAGCCTTGGAAACCCAGTGGGGGTTGCTATGAGTTGGAATCAACTCTATGGCAGTGATTTTGGTTTGGAGTCAAGTTATAATGTAAGTCTGAATATAATATAATTTGTTATTAACACATCTTCATGCCCTCCCCCTCATTAATGGTATTTACTCTTTAGTCCATTTTCTTCTCACCATCACAATATTGTAGAGAAAGCTTTTTTTTTTTTTTTCCCATGGTGCTTTGTATATACTTCTCATATAACACTTATACCACAAGTGGATGGCTTTAATGAACAGAAATTTATTCTCTTACAGTTAAGAGGCTACAAGTCCAAATTCAGGGCACCAGCTCCAGGAAATGGCTTCTCTCTGTGTCAGCCTGGGAGAAGGTTCTTATCTGTTCTCAGTATCTGTGGGCCCAGCATCCCTTGGAGATCTCCATGTGTCTTGGCATCAATCTTCCCCTGGGTCTAGGCGGTTCTCAACACAGGGACTCCATGTACAAAGGACATGCTTAGCTCTTCTTTCTTGGTGGTAGTCAGAGGTCAGGTGTTTCTGATCTCAGCTTGCTTATTTAATCTCTTTTATATCTCAGAAGAGATTGCCTCAAGATGCAACCTAATCTTGTAGTTTGGATCCTGCCTCATTAACATAAGGAGCTCTGGTAGCATAGTGCCTAAGGCACTTGACTGCTAACCAGAAGGCTGGTGGTTCAAACCCACCAGCCACTCCTCACAAGGAAGGCTACCTTTAATCCTGTCTCATTATTGTCATAGAGGTTAGGATTTCCAACACATGAAATAATTGCATTAGATCACAAAATGGAGGTTAATTACATGATACTGAGAATCATGCCCTAGCAATTGACACATATTGTGGGGGGAACACAGTTCAATTCATAACACTCACCAAGTAGAATACAGGTTTGGAAAAAAAAAAAAAAAGGATTATTTTTATATTCTTGGCAACTCAGTAGATACCCAATATGTGAGTTGGTTGATTGTATGAATAAAGTGAATGAATAGATGGACAAATGAAAGAAGGAGCCACTGAGCTAGGAGCTTTGAGGCTAAGCGTCACCTCAATCAACAGTTGATGGTTTTAAGCCTTACTTAGTAGATTTCTCTAACCAAGCCTCTAGCTCCTCTTTGGTCCCTTCTCATTTTCAATTCACACAAATACTAAGTAAAATGAAAAGTACCTCCTTTCAAAAGAGTTGGAAACTCCTTCTGGGTTCAAACTTTTTATTTGTTTGGAAAATCCAAATAATATTTTCCACACCTTCACCTCTTCACTCACCATGCAGCTTTCAAATGATTCTAGTTTTCCAGAAGTAGGTATTGCCTAGTGCAGTGCTGCACCAAGGGACCCCCCTTTGTTTTGAGGGGTTGGTACACTTCAGGATTTCTGTACAGCTAAAGAACAGGATATTTTTCCATCAAAAGATAATCTGTTCTTTTCCATCTTCAATGACATTTTTAAGAATGTGAAATCCAGTGATTTGTGATGCATTTGGAGTTTCAAACAAAATGGTAATTTTGTTATTTTAAAACTTTCTCTGGTGAAGTGGCCATTTCCTGGCTCTTGACAACCCTGTCATGCTGGAAGGATTTTTTTTTTTTTTTGACATTTATTTGAGTGTCTGGTAGAGAAAATTAGAAAAGAACAAGAGAAAACATTTGTCATTGTTACATTGTTCATCACTCCCACTGTCTTCCTGGACACTCAGTTTCACAAAATAGCAAGGATTTTCATGTGTCTTGGTGCCATAACCAAATACTCCAATTTTAGAAAAATGACACTGGCTCTTGTTGCTTTTGTCAATTTGTCCTTCCCTTGAAATAATTAGCATTTATTACATACTTCAATATGACACATTATAAAACTAACAGCTAATGAACTTGATCTAATAATTACTCAAAAAGGAACCTCTACACACATCATAATTCTGTGCCTTGAAACAGTGAGTTTGGTAAGAAGAGAAGATAAGGAAACAAATACATCCCCACACTTACCTACGAGTGTCCTGATTCTGCTGGCATGCTTCCTGTCCATGTGGTGACACTTTTACTTGGAGCCCATGGGACCACCCACCCGTCTTTAATCCAAACAATGCATTCCTAAAAATTTAAACATCTACAATATACATTCATCATTGCAATATATTATGCTGATAGAAAAATGAATCCCACTCCAGCAGAAACACTTTGAACTGAGAAACTAAATATTTGAAGTATGTTCTAAATAAGTCAAGGGGACTGATGATCTTGTTTGACTAAAGCAGCTGCTGAACTCCGAGTTGTTTGCTTTGCTAGAACAAACCATATGGATTTTGAGTCCTGCTTGTGTTCAGCCAGATTTAAACTTTAACTTAAACATATGCTGAAAATGGCTAATTCCTAGATTTGAAGTTTCAAGTATATATGCCCTTTAAAAGGAAAATACTCAACACCTCTTTGGGTGTTCCTGTAAGACAGGAATAATGGAAACCCAAGGACAATACCCGTGGCATGGCAACACCTGTGAAGAATGTGGTGTTGTTATGGGCTGTCGAGTTGATTCCAACTCTTTTACGATCCCTGTCACAGGGTAGAACTGCCCCATTGGGTTTATGGGAGCAGATCACCAGGTCTTTCTCCCACAGAGCCACTCAGTTAGTGGCATGTAACCCCTTGCACCACCAGGCTCCTATAAAGAATGTGGTTATGTTGGGTTATTTTGTCTGGTGGCAGGTAAACATTTCATTACAAAATGAATGAGCTATGAAAATCATGGAAATGTTCTCCCCTGTTTGTACGGGTAGATCATACCTCTCCCGCCCCACCTCATACCACCTCGTACACATTTAATACTATTGCCCTTTGCTCTGTCTAGTCAGGATGTTTTGTGTTGCACTTCATTGTCTCATCACACTTGTTACTTGTTATGTTTGGGACTGAAGCTCTGTGCATCTGAAGACCATGTCGTATACTCTATGCATTCCCTTTGAATTCAAAAACCAAACTCACTGCTTTTGAGTTGATTCAGACTCATAGCATCCCCCATTGGGTTCCCAAGGCTATAAATATTTATGGGCTCGTCTTTCTTCTGCAGAGCAGCTGTTGGGTTCAAACCACCGACCTTTTGGTTAGCAGCCAACAGTTGCCCTCATGTTGACTCCAACTCATGGTGGCGACCCCTTGTGTGTCAGAGTAGAACTGTGTTCCATAGAGTTTTCAGTGGCTGATATTTTGGAAGTAGATTGCTAACCTCTTCTTCCAAGGAGCCTCTGGGAGGACTAGAACTTGCAACCTTTCAGTTAGTAGCTGAGTACATTTACTGTTTCCACCACCCAGGAACTCCTTCCTTAGAAGGCACTTGTATTTGCTGAATTATTATTATTATTTAAGTTTATTTAAGAATCTTCTTTGCTGTAGTCATGTATACTTTCCCATCAGCTGTTAGGGTGACCAACTGTTTGGTTTGCCTTGGCCTGGGAGATGCCTCAAGATAGGACTTTCAGTGCTAAGATTTGGAAAGTTAGGGCAAACGGACTGGTCCTATTAAAAAGCACAAAGCCTGTATAAAGGCTCCCAGGGTACAGAGTAGAATTCTCAGACTTTAGGATAAAAGATAATGTCAGAGTGAGACCCAGTAACAAATAGCCAGCTGCCTAACACAGATGGAAACCACAGTAACGATGAAGGTGGAGACATATTCATTGACAAGAAAGAGAGCCCCCCACCTGTGAATGAAGTGAGATGCAGCCTTAAACAGTGGTTATTAAGCAGGAGGATGACCAGAGAGGTGAATAATTGCTATGCATCTGGACTGTATATATTTTGTCACAAATAAGTTTCAGATTTAGAGGTGGGGTTGATTAAAAAAAAAAAAAAAAAAGCTTTAAGTAAAAAGAGAAAACTACCCTGAAAACCCTACCCAGATAGAGCTGCATTCAATTTAGGAAGATAACATTGGGTCAGATAAGGGTCAGCCAGTTCAACAACGGCAAAGAACTGTGGCTGTGACAATGCAGGATCTGGATGTGTTGATGTGACAATGGAGAGTTGGCAGGAGCTGCGACATTCCACCCAGAGCCAGCTCTGCCAACCATCAATCTTGGTGGCTAAAGCAGGGGATAAACACAGTGGAATAGCAAAATGTTCTCAAAAAAATGTATTATCATTTCAGATAGATTACAATAAATATCCAAATTTGGCAGATGAAGAAAGTCTGTGTGTTTCTTTGGTGCAGACTTGAAATGCTGGCACATAACTAGGAAAGTGACTTGGAAAATCTGAACTAAGCCAGAGCTATTAAGAGTGGTTAGGAAATAAGGGCTTGATAGAAAATAAGGGTGCATTCCCATTTTTTTAGGTGCAAGAGAATATGGCCCACTAGATCCAATCTGAAGTTTAGATTTAAAAAAGAGAATAACAATTATCTGCTTCAAGTGGTCATGATAAGTAGAAAGAAAGCAACGTCTCACCATCTAGTAAGTTCATGGAGGACTACTTTAATGAATAGATAATAATTAGCTTTTGAATTATTATACACAAATGCGTAATGTCCCTGAATTGTATTCTTCTTTTAATCTCTCAAAGAAAGACGTGACATGCAAAAATAAATTTTAATCTACTCTTCATTATAGCTCTTCCTCTCCAACCATTCAGTTCCTCTTCCTCTTTGTTCCATAATTTCTCATTCATTCATTCATTCAATCACTCACTCATTCAACAAACATTTACTGAACAACTACTCTATATCAGGAAATATGCTAAGTTGTGGCTTAGAAAAACTAATAATAATACTCTGTATTGCACTCATTTGACTTACTCCTTGAATGGGAGAGATAGTCACCTAAAGATGTGACCACTGTACAGCATTGGAAGGGCACTGGCATACATGCAATTGTTGTTGTTGTTGTTATGTGCCATTGAGTCGGACCCGACTCATAGCGACCCCTCCTTGGGTTTCCGAGGCAGTATCACTACAGAAGTAGATTGCCCAACCTTCCTTCCTAGTGGCTGGTGGGTTT